CCATTTAATCTCAATATTTCTTTTTTTTTTTCTTCTAAGCAATAATACATTTGATTTTAATTTCAGTCATACCATAATGTGACATTACAGTTTTTAAAAAGATTCTATTGGAGTAAAGCTGTAATGTGTGTGGTCAATCTGCTTGTACAATCTCTTTTTTAGATCTACAATCAGGTATGTAGGGCATGTATTGGATACAAATTGGTTGAGTAGGTCAGGTCGGTCCTCATTACATGGTTTTGGTAGATTTAAAATTGGTTGTACAGATATTGCATGGTTAGATTGTAATGTGTGGATTGGGAGCCTTAAGTTAGCCACACACTACAACCTAATTGTACAATCTCCTATAGATCAGCCATCATCTATGCAGTGCAAGGTCAAGCCTCAAATTGAATTAATTGTTTAAAAGAGATCTATTGTTTTAAAGAGAACTATGGCCTAATCATTTTTGGCCGTAGTTCTCTTTAGGGTCACAGGAGGATATTTACTAATATTTGCTGACAGAGCAGAGCTGCGCTTCAGCTGGGAAGAATCCCTCTACCTGATGGCTGGCTCTGCCTCTCTAGACCCAGAGCCAGCTGTGCCCACTCCCTCCCCACTCTGTCCCTCCAAAAAGTGCTGGAGGAACACAGAGGGGAGGGAGGGAATCCCTGCGTGGAGCTGTGACTGACACTTACCGCTCTCTGCAGGGAGATGATCCGGAACTGAGCGATCAGCAGTATGTCATCACTCAGTTCTTGATCTATAGAGCTGACGTGTGATGGCTCTAACTATTGGGATCAGTGTATTTTACTCTCCCCATAATTCTCCTTTTAAGTATGTACTCGTATTGCATAAGTTTGGCAAATCAAAAAGAGATTGTACAGTCTGAGAGTCTACTGCCTCTAGATAGGCAGAGCCGGCTGTCACTCATGCATCTGGGTGGATCTCGACAGTAATGTCAGGATCTGTCCTGGCTGCGGCAGTCTCAGTATACTGCGAGCTGTAGCTCACGATATACTGAGATTTGGGTCACGGGAGGACGCTAGTTTAAGTCCTCCCGTGACCCTAAAGAGAACTATGGGGAAAAACACTTACCCCATAGTTCTCTTTTAAACTTTGCCCCTGTGCTGGTGCTTCCTGTAATAAAGATGGGTCACAGCTCTCTCTCTCCATGTGCAGGTCTTTATCTGGCCCCCTCCTGTAGTTTTCTGCAGGCAGCCTGTAGTGGATGGGCCTTGCTGGTCCTGCTCACAGCTCTGCTGACTGCACATGTGCAGCACAATGATGATGTCACTACTCGTTTTACAAGGTTATAACTGGGCTTGCAAAGGCATTTGGTGCACACAAAGTGGATCATGTCTTGTAGCTATTTCAGCATATATCTAAAGGAAAGTTTGTGTCTGGAGTTTAACTTTAACCCTTGCAGTGCAGGGTGGCCATACTGCAAGAGTGTTTGTTTTTTTGTGTAATTCCCAAAGTTCAGATTTAAATACACATTTTTCTATTGGAATAGACAAGGTTTAGAATATTGGTCAATATTTCATTGCTGAGAAAAATACACCAGAATGGGTGCTCCACATGCAAATATAGGGGAAGCACATGTAGTCATAATCTTAGTGAACCCACCAAAATAACTTTCTGCGGCTCACCCCCAACCATATATGCATTAGCAGAAATAGATGTAAATCAACCATAGCTTACCACCTTAACAATATTTACTTACACAATTTCAATGTTTTCTTTTAAACAATGAGTTGTTTAAATAAGCATTCAGCGTGTGTAAATGTTGCAATGGTGGTGATCTTTGGTTGATTCACGTTTACTTCTGATAAGTTGTTATTTTGGGGGGGTTAAGCCAGGTGTAGACAAATCCCAGGAGCCAGGTCACCAATGCTCCTTAAAAATTATAGAGAAAATCCTCAAAAGTTGGGCCCCATCTAGTTGTCAATAGCTAAAAAAAAATACCATTCTTACCAGATCCTGGATTGGACAGACTGGCTCCTATTCCATAATAGGAAAAGGATCGTCCCTTTAATGGGATGGCATGTTATTGATTTGGGGGAGGCAGATGTGAGGTGGGGGCGGCAGCACAGGCGACTAACAGCACCCCCCCTTACCACTGACTGCTCACCCGCCTGCCACCTTCCTCCCCGGTTGATAGCTTGGTCCCCTGCTACGGGCCACCTCAGGCAGCGAAGAACGCAGGGACAGCCGTGCATGGAAAGCTGTTTTTTTGTGTGTGAAGGATTCTATAAGTATGGATTATTTTTTTTTTTGCTGTCTCTGTCCCAATGGGTAAAAATTGCCCTCATTTCCCACCTAGATGTAAGTGTTGGCAGAACAGGACGAGAAGAAACATTTCTTCTTTAGGGGCCAGATTGCATTTAAAATATTGACAGAGAAATGCCATCAACTAAAATAAAAATATCTGGAGTTGTGCTTTAAGTATAGCAAAACCTAGAGCTGTTAACCTTAATACTGCAGTAAACTATTACTGCTACAGGAGCATCATTAGTCATATTTTTCAGCCCCCACAACACTTGTGTGTCTAGACTTCTAATTAGGTTCTTTTATCATTTCAGGTTTGTATGGACGTGAAGGGGTCTTGCCTGCTTGGAGGATGCTCCGCTTCACCGGCAAAGGATTTTGGGAACAACTGAAGGACTCCCCTACACTACTCTGGCTAGGTCCCTCGGTAGGACTGGATACAGAACAGGGGATGGAACTCATCTGCTTACTAGGAGTTCTCCTGTCTGTGGGCGCATTACTTTTTAGTTTCTTACGGGACAGCCTGGTGTTTCTCCTGCTGTGGATCTTCTACTTATCTGTATATCAGGTGCGTTTGCTTCATGTATCCAGAACTGTACCCCTTTATTGCTGTCAAGTATTGTACTGCTTAGATTTGCTGCCACGTTTATGTTTGTGAAAGGTTAGAAGTAGTAATGTTCAGATACCAAGTACTGTACTCTGTACATGTACAGATACTTTTCCAGCTCCAAGTCTAGACTAGAGAAACTCAACAGTTAGGAGGCAGCTGTCATTTTTAAAGGAGAGTTTCATTGTCACAGGTCGGCTCAGATTATGAGGTGAGTGAACTCACCTCATAATCTGAGCCGACCTGTGACAATGAAACTGTCACAGGTCGGCTCAGTAGATCGGGAAGTGAGCAAACACATACCGGCGCTCGCTCACTTCTCGATCCTGTTGCGGCAGAGAGCCGTGACGGGAGGGACTGAATTTCCATTCTTGTTGGATACACTTGAAAGAGGAACTTCACCCAGCTAATTAATAAAAAATAAAGTACTGCAGCTGCTGACTTTAAAAAAACATATACTTACCAGCCCATGAAATTTAGCGCCGTCTTCCTGGCACCCGATTCTTCACAGGGTTTCTGATCTTCCACACTGCCATTTTGGATTTAGGAGCCGGCTGCCACTTCTTGGCCACTCACAACCAGCTCCCTACTTACATGTGTGAGATCCGCCATTGGGGGTAAACTGTCCTCCTGGGATCTGTGATGTGTATCCCTGGAGGCGGGGGTCTACGTCATCCTCATCTAGGCAAGAAATGAGAGCAAGTTCCTGCAGAAACTGCTACCCCAAAAACATCTTGTAAATGTGTAATGGGAAGGGTTAGAATTATGCCATGTGCTAATTTTGAGTGAATATCACTTTAATGATTTAGTTAATGGTTTCTACAGCTGTATTAAATAGTGAGAACATACAGTTTGTGTAACCTTGCATGGCTGGGATTTATCCAGATGGTTACGTGGCATTCCAAATACCTGTAAACAAGATGAAATGTCCACTGTTGCAGAGTGTGTTGGTAGGTTGTACCAGCAGTACATCCAGTTATCATAGATTTTACAGATTTATAATCTGATACTATACTGTGTAAGAGAACAATAAGCATATAACAGGCCAACCCTAATAGGCAGTGTCAGTGGCAAACTCTGTCTTCATGTCGGGTTTCATTTGAATATAGTTAATGGGTAACTGGCAGCTTGCCTTTTAAAGTAAACCTAAAAATGGGTAGAGGAGTTTAATTGCTGATCTCCTTCTTAAAATGCTAACTGCTTTCTCTCTCTAGGTTCTTTACTTTTCAGTTGTTAACTTGAAACAAGAATACAGTTAAGGATTTCTCCATTACTTTCCTGATTTGCATATTTGTTCTGGGACAGTACCTCAAAATGTATTGCACAAAGGGGCTATCATGGCAGCCAAGCAGCTTGCAATGAGAGGCAGCCTCCATGTTTGTTATATGACAGGTTTTCTATTGCTATTCTGATATTTATGTTTATAACCATATTTCTTATTCTATCTCTGCAGGTTGGACAAGTATTCCTGTATTTCCAATGGTAAGTGCCTAATTTGCAGCAACCTGTGTGCTTTTAATGAAATCAACCCATAGCAGAAACAGCATGTGACTTTCTGTTTATTATTTCAGGGATAGTCTTCTGCTAGAAGCAGGATTTCTAACAATATTAGTAGCTCCACTGCGTGCTTTACGTTCAAAGACGAATGCCTGGAGTACTCATGATGGGATCACATTTCTGCTAATTCGATGGCTGCTCTTTAGACTTATGTTTGCATCCGGAATTGTAAAACTGACTAGCCGGTGTCCCACATGGTGGGGGTTGACAGGTGAGGCCAGTTGTATTACTTTCTTACTTTTTCCTATTCACCTCCTGAATTTTTATCCAATGCTGACACAAAAATGTTGCTCTTTCCCGATTTTATCGTTCTCCCTACTTGTTGTTTTTTTCCGGCAGCCTTACTGTGACAGGAGCTGGGCCTATAGAGGAAGCATTGGTTTATGCGGCTCTGCTCCCTCCAGTGCCGCCTTATATCCTCTAGCGCTGGCTTCATTGGCACCGCTGATTCTCTCCTGCGGCTCTTCAAGTTCCCCCTTATGGCCCTGGGAATGGTCACAACTAGGTCTTATTTTCAGGGCATGTCTTATGTTTTAGCAACCCAAAAATAGTACTAGGTCTTATTTTCGGGGTAACGGTATATTAATTCCTTTCCTATCTGATATGCTCCCTCTGGCTTTGCTCTCTGCATTTGTTTGTCCTGTAACCAGCCCCCCTGCACAATCCTTTTTTTTTTTTCTTCCTACTAACTCCTCTGCACTACCACAAAGGGTGAGGCACCACAGCAGTTCTGAAAACTGCAATGTGGCTAGGTAGCCCACCTCCCACTAAATATGGAGGCTGGAGGGACTCCTGCTTAGTCTGTATTGGGTGGGACATGGAATCCCCATCCCTGCAGGGGAGAGGAAATAATTGCCACTGCTCAGTCTCTGGAGGAAGGAAGCCCTCTGCCCCCCTGACTGAGTTGCTTCCGTAGTTACTAGTGATTGTAGGTCTCTAAGCATGCCACTGCAGCTGCCCTGTTCAGTACTGTATCAATTCACACAGCCCACCATGCAGGTGCAGTTTCCTGCAGCAAAGAGGAGCAGCTGCCTTTTGTCACTTTCGGTGAAGTGAAAAATCACCAGCAGTGGTGCAGCACCCTAAAAGTTGGTAGAACCTGATCGGGTTTTCTTCCATTTGCCATTGCCCAGCTCTGTCCTAACCCAACCCACTCTGCCCAAAAAAAAGAGAAAATGTTGTGCTTTGATGGTAGAGGGTTGTAAAGGAAACAGTCAGTTAAATATAAGGTTTAAAGCACGTTGAGTTCATAAATTGTACATGTAATGCCTTAGTAGTGATGTAATAAATGCATAGAAGTATATGTGAGGTCAGTATGAAAATATATGAGGAACAAAGGGACATGGGTTATGAACAGGGCAAAGTTGGTTTTGTGATTGGTATGGGAAAGAGCATTGTGATGATACATGTGGAAATTATAAAAGTGGACTTTGCAAGAAATGGCCTTTTATATCTAGAAATGTATTAATTTTTATGACTGTTCAATCCTTCCTAGCTCTTACCTATCACTACGAGACGCAGTGTATCCCAACTCCAGCTGCCTGGTTTGCCCATCAGCTTCCTGTCTGGCTCCAGAAAGTGTCAGTAGTTGCTACATACGTCATAGAAATTGGGGTTCCATGGCTTTTCTTCTTGCCTTCCCGGAGGCTCCGTCTTTTCTCATTTTATTCTCAGGTAAGCATGTGTTGGAACAATTTTAGTGTTTCATGCACATCTAAAGAATGCAGTTTGTAGGCCTTTAGATTTTACTGTTAACCTACTGATGTCTTCCTCCCATTTTTCAGGCTCTATTACAGGTCCTCATCATAATCACTGGAAATTACAATTTCTTTAACCTGCTGACCCTGGTACTTTGCATTTCTCTCCTGGATGACCAGCATTTAAAAGCAGAACCGAAGGGAAAAAAAGCACAGCAGAAAGGTGACTGCCTTGTGGCCCTTATTAGAAAGACATCAATCACAAACTGTTAACTTTCATTTAAGGTGTATGTGTAGCAGGCTAAGCTGTGTGAATGCTTTCTGTCAAAAATACCTTGTGTTAAAGATTTCACATTGTATTTTCTGATCCTAGAAGTAGCTGAAAGGTCCTTAGAATATTCTGTTTGGGCAAATTGGTGGTAGCTGCATGTTTGTTTTCTCACAGAAATAGGCTATTCACATGTTTAAAATATTATGGCCCCATTCACACACGAATCGGCCGGCACGTACAGCTCCGTGCTGCGTACAGGGCCGTACCAAACAGCTGCCGTGAAGGACAGGTGCTGCGTGTGATTAGTACGCAGCCACCGTCCTTCTCTATGGGGCTACGCGGCCGTACGCCCCCCTACGCACACCTCAATTGCAGGTCCGTATGGGTAGGGAAGGACGGGGGCTGCCTACTAATCACACGCAGCACCTGTCCTTCCCAGACGCTGTTTGGTACGGCCCCGCACGGAGCTGTACGTGCCGGCCGATTCGTGTGTGAATGGGGCCTATTAGTAGCTTACTAAATCCTTTTAGGAGCACATTGAACCATCTTGTAGGTCCTTTCCTGGCTGCCAGGACTCGGGCAGGTATATTATAGGAAAGCCCACCTGAGTCCTTCTGTAGTAACTCCGTTCCTGGTGTTTAAGTGAAGAGGTGGACACTGAATACTAAACATTGTATGGCACCTCTGTGTGCTTTGACTGATAGGGTACAACAGAAGTTAAATACAGATGGTGTACAGATGGCTTCAAGCAGACCAGGATTGTATGCACATCAATTAATTCTATGTCTTTTTTGTGCTTTTCTTTTTACAGGTTGGGGGTTCTCTGTACAGTCTTTAGTTGTGCTCTTAGATCTCCTGGCTTTCGGGTTACTTGCTTACTGGAGTGTAAAATATTTTGATCTTCAAATCAACCTAGAAAATTATACGGTGGAATCCAAAACAGGTCAGTGGGCCATTATTCTTTTAATGTTTTGCTGATTATGCTTTAGAACAAGTTTTATTTTACTTTTTTATAGATACTGTCTTTAAAAACCCACTTTTTTTTTTTAACCTTACAGCCTTTACCCATCATGACTTTCTGCAGTGGCTCAGGACACTCACTTTTCCATCTATGTACTTAGCCGGTGCTTCTTTAGGTTGGGAGATTCTCAGAGGCATGTACAGGTGAGTACAACACTTGACTTGGAGACCTCAGAATCGTGGAAAACTTTCCCGCCAGCCTTAGGATGCATGAGTTTATAAGGAATAACATCACTGGACTACATAAAGACCAGCGTACATGGAGACCACTCTAAATCTGTAAGGGGTTCTCTAAAGAGGAACTGAACTTTGGAAGCTGTGCCCAAAAAAAGGCAGGCAAAGGACTAGCCATCACTATTATCTGTGCTCTCCAAAAAAATTATTGTTCTTCATTACTGACTTTTTTAATGCCTTGTTCTGCACTGTTTATCTGTTTGGAGATGGCCATCTTTGTAGAGGCAGGGCTTTTACTTCCCCATGTTAAAGCCTACAGTAAACAGCAGCACAGTAGTGACATCATCACATCTCCTGAGACTAGCAGTCATAGGCAGCAGTGCCTTAATCTCATACTGCAGATATACAGCTGTGAGGCTATACACACTGACGTGCAAAAACACAAATTAACGTACCAGGAAGTGGATTGCTATTTTCTTTTTTCTTAGGAGGACTTCCAAACGAAAGGTAGATTTTGCAGGATACTTGGGATGTTTAGACATCATTAAGGTTTCCAAATTTTCCCTTTTTAACATAGCAAATCCTTATGTATTGAGTTCAGGTCCTTTTTTTAGAAGGTTTGTTTCCTCTCACATGGAGTTGCATTGCAACAGTCTCTCATAGAAAGGACACACGTGCAGGATGGGGCAATGTGAAGCAGCAAAGGTGAAAGCCACATCTTTTCCCAGTAGGGATAGTATACAAAGGCACACTATGTGAACTCCAGTCGCTGTCGGTGTACTTGAACAGAGCCGGAAGCTCATTGGCTGTCGGCTCTGTTGGAGCCGCTGAAAGGGTGCAGACAGCTATTTCGGTCCCTGGAGAATCAGCCAGTCAGTATCTGGTAAACTTTCCAATTAGATTCTCATTGAGTGAAGATGGTAACACAGACTAGAAAACATAACTGCTCAGCATAGAACCAGGCTTGGTAGTTTGACTAGGTGCTGCGTTCATGCATGGGTCATCTTTCCTGTGGCATCCACAAGTTTTTGGTGATTCAGGTGTGTTATTCTACTCAAATGATCAGTTCTGTGTGGGCTAGTCCATTAATAGGGAAAATAATTTTTACTTTTTTATGCTGTTGTATATTCATCATGTAATCTGTCAGTTATGTCTTTTGAGACTCCTTTCTTTTTTTTATCAGGAGTGCATCTACTCGTGGCATTTTCTGGAAGTTCTGGGCAACCATGCAATGGATTCTTTTCTCTTTTGCAGCAGTTGGCATGTTTGCTGTCAGCTTGGTAAGATGTTAGAAATATACACGGATTTTCCTCCAGCCATTACTCGTACTCGCCCAAATGCTCTGATGCCTAGCCCGATACTTGAGCTTCTGGTATCAGGATGCCAGGCAGCAAGTCATTACATGCTTCCTGACTGGCTGGAAAGCTGGCTCCATGAGGTTGGAGCCGTCTTCCCGGCCATTTAGGAAGCCGGGCACCGTTACTCGCTTCTGATTGGCCAGGAAGCCGGCTTCCCAGCCAATCAGGAAGCCGGGCTCTGCGTCATTACACAGAGCCCAGCTTGCTGATTGGCCAGAAAGTCGGCTCCATGCTTTCTCGCCACCTAGTGATGAGAAGTATGGAGACAGCTTCCCTGCTAATCGGTAAGCCGAGTGGCGAGTCTTTACACTCCACCTGGTAAATCAGGAAGCCAGGTGGCGAGTCTTTACACGCCACCTGACTTCCGGTATTAGTATTCGGTGTCGGCAAGTACCGGGGAAAAAAATATCGGTACTCAATACTGAAAAAACGGTATCTGTGCAACCCTAATTATAACCCCCCTTTCATATGTAATTTTTATGATGAGCAGTTTTGCTTAAAAACTCTCAGAAGTAGGGTAATGCTCATGACGATTGCGTTAATGGTATAATCTTTCTGTCAGCAGCCTTGCCCATATAGACGGGTATATAGATATATTAGTGTGTAACAAATTATAAAATAGGTGATACCCATTTGGCTGCAAAAGTTGCAATACATTTTAGGTGGTGAGCATCCTTTTTCATGACGAAACACAATCGAGGCACTGTCTTGTGACGATGCCTGCTAGGTCTTCTACATGTTTCTGTCATGGCAGGATTCATTTCATGTTTTTTGGGTGCAATTTTGTGGCTATTGTTAAAGTACATTGCTGGCATTTATATGATTTGCATGCATTAGCAAGCATTGAGCTGCCCATGCCTACTCATTGAAATTTCTCCCCACTTATGTACTGTTTTATCCAATGTAGGCAGGGAACTTTTTTTTATTAAAATAGTGAACCAGCACTTATGAGTCTAATGGTCAACTCTCGCCAACTATTCATCAGCTGTTCAATAAGGTAGACAGATTCCAGCTGGCTAACTCTTATGGCTTGTTTCGAAGGATGACTGGGGTTGGTGGCCGACCAGAAGTTGTAGTTGAAGGAAGTTATGACAAAGAAACTTGGACGGTAAATATAGATTTTGTTTTCCAAAACCTAAGGTATGCTAGAAATTGTCTCAAAAGCCTTTTAAAGCTAGCCATACGCCTTAAAATCTTAACTTGGTTTACCAATCATCTATTATCCTAACCTACTATGGGATCTAATAAATTTTGTAGGCAGGAAAAACCTTGCATGTGTGGTGAACACCCTCAAGGTCTGAGGAAATCTCCCTCTGACCCGAAGTTCCGTTATCAGAGCATTTGGACGAGTACTCGCCCAAATACTCAGTATAGTCACCAATACTAGTATTGTTAAATATAAATTAATAATATATATTTTAAAAAATATATATAAATATAAAATAATATCTATTTTAGTGCTGCAGGCCTATTCCAAACTCCTTTACCCTGGCAGCATGCTGGAGAGCCAGACTGCTGCACTTGGTCCTGTGAAATGGCCTTATTTTTCTTTGAATGTTTTTATAGATCATGCAGAACGATAAATTAACCCAATAACTTTTTATGAGATGCTTGACAATACTGATCTGTATCTCTGGCCTTGTTTAACAGTTGGCATCTTGAATTGTTAAACCTGTTTTGATATAGGAAATTGTGTGTAATAGAACTCATTAACCACTTTAGGACTAGAGCGGTTTTTATTTTTTTATTTTTACACATATACACTAAAATCTGAATTTTTGGAGAGAAAATTGCTTTAACCAGTTGACATCCGCGGTGTTAAACCCCCTTCCCATCCAGGCCATTTTTCAGTATTCAGCGCTGCGGTACTTTAACTGACATTTATTCCGTCATGCAGCGCTGTACTGAAATGAATTTTATACCCTTTTTTGGGGACAGATAGAGCTTTCTTTTGGTGGTATTTATTCACCACTGGGGGTTTTATTTTTTTACTATATTAAGGAAAAATTACCGAATTTTTTTAAGGGGGCGCGCGCGAGCAGAAAAAAATTGCCGTCTGGAGACGGCAATCCGCAGATGCAGCAGTGCCGTCCGTCCGTTTTTTTACTACGGGCGGACGGCAAGAGGTTAAACCCCTAAACATGTATGTATTTTCTGAAAGCAGAGGCCCTGTAGAATAAGCAAATGGTTGCTGCATTTTTATGTTGCACGATAATTGCACAAATGTTCATCAAATTGATCTTTTTAGGGGAGAAGAAACAGTCAAATGAATTTTAGTGCACACAAACACAATTTAACACCCAATTTTCGGGGGTAAAATATAGATGGGGTTTACACAGAGTAAATGGATACCAAACATGTCAAGCATTAAAATTGCATGCATCTGTGCAATGGCGAAAAACTTTGGTACTCAAAAATTTTCCATAGGCAACACTTTAAAAGCCATTACTGCTCATCAGTTTAGTGTTGCCAGTGAACTATGACCCTAGAATTATTGCTCTCACTCAGATGTTCAAGGTGATGCCTAACGTGTGGTGCAATGTTTTACGTACCCCTGCATGCCCTATTTGCACATGTTTTATTGACCTGCAAATGCTGGGGGCAGGGGGATTGGTTTTACATTTTTGTTTTGTATTGAGTGGACTGGGGACACTTTAAACCTGAACTTTGGGATTAGCAAATATTGTCTAAATAAAGAGATGTGTATTCATACTTTTGAATCTTGGTGTGCTTTGTGTATTTCTTTTAGATCTGTGCAATAGGAGCTGGCTCACCAGCCAGCTGCGCTGAACCCACCGTGGCTAGAGTGTGCTGAGAGGAAAGTGTGATGCCGGCGGGTCTAAAACAAATTCACATTTTTTTTTTTTTTGTGTGTGATGCATTTGTACTACTTTGCACCAGGCTGTGCAGAAAAAAAATGGTACTGCATACATAAGCTGGGCCAATTGAAAGCAAGGTCATTTTCCTTGTCTTTGTATTGGGAAAGTGTTGGGGAAGGCTGCTAATGCCGCCTCAACGCACCTGGTATGAACAGGCCCTTACATGTTGCCTTTGTGCAGAAGCTTCATGTAATAAAGTTCAGTCACTGCTGCTCTCTCTCTACTGGTGTAGGGTGACTGATCTTGTATTCACCCCTGTATTTTTCTTGGGCAGCCTGTAGTGGGTGAACCTCCTAGTCCCTTCCACCGCTCTGGTACATAAAGTGGATTTATATTCTTTTTGTGGCCATCAAGGAATATATTTAAGTGAAAGATTTTTGTGCCCAGAGTTTAGCACTAAATACTCTGCTGGGTTGATAAAGGGTGAAGTTTGTGTTATTTATTCTGACTGTGTGTAATAATGAATCTTCTCACAGGAAATAGAATTCATGTACAAGCCAGGCAATGTAAGTGCAGCTCCTCCAGTCATCACTCCTCACCAGCCACGCTTGGACTGGCAGATGTGGTTTGCTGCCCTTGGACATCACACACAGAGTCCCTGGTTTACCAGCTTTGTTCATCAACTCCTACAGGGAAACCAGGATGGTAAGCTATAGAGAACACTCAGTGGAGGTGATGATAACGTTTTTAGGAATACTAGTTGAAGAGCTCAGAATATATGTAGGTATCTGTTGTGTGTTTTGTAGGCTCCTCCAAAAAAAATTGTTAAAATTTCTGATACCTGTGAAAGGAAGCAGTAAATACTCACCTTTTCTGATGCCACAGAACACTGCTTCGATCACTGGAACTGGTCCCACGAAGTCTGCTGGGTATAAGACACCTCCAGGAATTGAACTCCTGGGTCTCCTGCAGCTCTTACTTGGCACTGCAGTGATGTCAGGCCAGAGGGAAGAACTAATCAGAGCTGCAAGGCACATAGGAGATCAACACACCCTTTAGCATCTGTTTCCCAGTGCACTTCAAGGGAACGGTTCTAGTAAACAGAACGTAGTACAGTGTTCTGTGCATTGGGAAAGGGGGAGTATTGCTATCACATGGGAGGGGGGCTTACAGGCTGCCTATTTAATAACATACGAGTGGTGACAAATACGCTTTAAGGGGACATTAGGGGTCAAATAGACCCCTAGTGTCATCTTTCCACTCCAAATAAGCTATTGGAGTGCAGCCTATTGCCCAGCTTCTGCAGTCATGCAATCGGTGTCGCTTCTGGTCCCATTCAGCGGGGAGGAGATCGACGAATTCGCCGGTCTCCTTCCCCGCTTCCCACAGACACCCAAGATGTTAGTTAACATCACTTAAAGTGAAACAATAAAAATGAAAAATTCCTTTAAATATCATGCCTGGGGGGTCCTCTCAAACTGCTTGTATAGAACCTGTTGCAGCTAAAAATGACATTTATAAAGAAAAAAATGACATTTAAAAAGAAAAGGAAAAAAAAGCATGTAGTTCCCCCTCCCAAACAATGCTAGACCCTTTAGGTCTGGTAGGAATGTTAGGAGGGACTCCATTTAAAAAGAAAAAAGTGTGTGGGGTTCCCCCTTAAAGTCCTTACCAGGCCCTTAAGGTCTGCTAGGAATTTTAAGGAGAAACCCCACCCCCAAAAATGGGGGGAGAGGGAGTGGGGTCCCCCCTAAAATTCCCAACCAGACCCTTGATCCGAGCACAAGCAGGGCAGGAAGGGGGGAGGGGGATGAGCAGGCGGCCGAACCCCCTTTCTGTGATACCAGGCCACATGCCCTCGGCGCTGGTGGGAGTGTGCTTTTCCAGGGTTGCCCCTGGAAAAGCACCTTGTGCCGATGGGGACAAGGGTCTCTTCCCCACAGGCCCTGGGGTGCTGCTTGTGGGGTTGTGCACAGGGGGCTTTTTCACATCAGGGTACCTCTTTGATGAAGGGGCACCCCCTTGTGAATGAGTAAGGGATACTAGTACCCCTACCCTTTCACTAGGGTTAAATCAAATTGTAAAAAAAGAGGCCAGACTTTTGAAAAAATCCTTTATTTGGAAAAAAAAACAAGACAAGTTTCTTACAAGTCTTTTACTTAAAAAAAAAAACAAACCCAGAAAATGGATCCATCGACTTAATCCAGCGTCAATCACGATGTCCAGCGTTGTCCATGACGACAACTTGACGAAATAAAAAATGAATAGAAATTTTAAAAAATTTAAACGACCAGGTCCCGTCCGCTTGCGGAGAACTCCCGCCACAGAATGGCATTTTGACAGATGTCGGCAACATCTAAACAATTGGGCGGAGCTAGCAGTGATGGCTAGCTCTTCCCAACTGTTTACAGTTGTAGGGCATCTGACAGGTGAGCCATGATTGAGCAAAGTGGTCAGGTGCAAGGCTTTAGCCAATCAGGGCTCACAAGGCACAGTGCCTTGCGGGGCGTTTGGTGTGCGAACAGCCCGCTGAATGCCCTCACAGTTCGTGTGTTCCCCGAACACACGAACTGCCGATTTTCTAGTCGAACTCACGTTTGACTCGAACATCGAGCCCATGCCTATTCACCACCCCCTGGAAGCGATCTGGCAGCTGCTCAGCCACCAGATTCACTTCCAGTGTAAAGCAGACAGTCTGCTTTACACATGCAAACAGCTGCCGGGAGTCTGTTTTAAAAGGGCCCGCTGCCAGAGATGTAGTACATACATTGGTGGCAGCGAAAGGGTTAAAAGGCATATTGGGAATGCTTCCGATTACAGCATATGACAGCTGTTTCTGAAAATCTACATTTAAGATGGAAATACCATTTTTGAGTCTGGAAGAAATGCATTTATTCTGATGTTTTCAATAAATTTTCTTTTTACAGTGGTGCGTTTGGTGCAGAATGATGAGTCCCTGTATCCTTTCCATGCTCGCCCCCCTCATTATATAAGAGCACAACTTTTCAAGTATTGGTTTACAGAAACTGATCAAACAGGGTAAGTATCGCATTTGGAACCTACAGTAACAAGTTGTTGCCATATACACATTGCATATCTGTGGTGAATACATACTGTAGGCATCTAAAGTTGCCAAACATTTTAAAAAATGGCAACAAATATTTTTTATAGTCCTCTTAATAAAACTGTACATATTGCACTAATCAAATAAGTCTAACTCTGCATAAAGTGATGCCTAGAGCATTATAATGCATGTTATATTAGTTAAAATCTTTAATGGGGTTTCTTAACTCAACCAGAACACTTCCGGCCACTGCATAAATCAATCTTCCTGCTATCCTCACCTTCCTGTAGGCTACAAGTATGATAGATGTCCTCACTGGCCAATCGTGAGGAGAACAGTAAGACAGACTACGCAGCAACCATGAGTGATTTTAGTCGCTTTTTGCCAAATACTGGACCCCAGATTTGAAGGAAACTTTTTGCAGTTGCATGTACTCCTATGCCAGCATCAGTTGCCTGTGACCAGAGTAGATACTAGTTTGCATGAAATCTGCTTTTGTGCTAGAATAAGCATTAATTGCTATGATTGTAGTCCTACATCCTATGTTATCATTTACACTGATCTTCAAGTTACAGCCAAACTCTGTTTTTGTTGAATGAGAAACATTGTACACACAATGTATTGACCTGTGAAAGAAAAATGCACGTCACTGCTGGGGCACAAAGAAAACAATTGTTTTGTGTGTGCCCCATTCATATGGCAAATCAGCAGTAATGTGCAGAAAAATGCAGACCTGCTGTCTTTTTCCTGCAGTGCAACAGGCGCCACGGCATTTTACTGCAGAGCAGCGCACAGAGCTGCTGTGCGAAGATAGAAATGGAGTATAACTTCGTACAAAGTAAAAAAAAAACGGATGTGATGCACTGAAACTGTAGAAAATGGAAGGTCCGTCTGCACTCCTTACAGCGTTCCTGGCCCAACTGCAATGATGATGCTCGCAGTGATAATCACGGATGGCGCCGTGCACATCAACCAGCACTCAATAAATAGTATTCAAGTAATAAACGTCCATTTATTCGGACAAGTCGTCACAAACAAAAAAACAAACTGTACATCACATTGCCCCCTGCTGGACTTCACACACACACAGTAGCCCGCACACAAAAATAGTGTTTTAGCATGCAGGATTGTGTGAATGAGCACTTGGATAATACAACTTGAACAGTATCATTAGGTTATAGTGATCACCTCTACCTTTTCTTAGAGGTAAATACTTGGTTTTAAGAAGAACATTAAGAAATTTAAAGCCTGAAATTTCTGACTCTCCATCTGAAAATATTTTTTTTGGCTATCGTGTAATCCACGGGCTTCAGCATTTTAAGGCAATGACTTGGAACTTTTTAATCACCATGATTGTCCTTGATTAACTCGCAAAGTACTGAAGCTAAGTTGTTAATGAAAAAGTATTAGAGCACTTTTAAATTACACTCCATGTAATTACTGCTATCCTTTGTGTAAACCATTTCCATCTTACTGCTAATTAACTCTGATACCCTGGATGTAGCTTATACACCTAAATATTGACTAGGGATGCACCGATACCAGTTTTTCAGTATAGAGTAGTGATATTTATCATTCGGCACTTGCCAATACAGAGTACCGGTACTTCTGCTAGCATGGAGCTAGCTTCCTGATTGGCTGGGAAGCCGGCTTCCCAGCCAAATCAGGAAGCCGGGCGGTGAGTCATTACCAGCCAGACGGCTCAATGTTCCCTCGCGGCACTGAAATCGCTCTGTGACCGGAAGTTCCGGTATCGGGGGTAAGTATTGGAGCATTCGTACGAGTATTCTTAATATTTAACATTATAAAGTAAAGAAAAAAAAAACTGTTTTAAGCCTTTAATATGTTTTGCATTCCTGTAGCTGTTTACTGTTAATTCATACTTCTTTGCCAGAAAAACATCCAGTCACTGGTGGCGTCGTCGACATGCCGAGGAATTCTTCCCTACCGTGTACATAGGAGACCCTACCTTGGAATCCCTGTTGACCCAGCACGGACTCAAGGTACGTGTAGCTTATTAGGCTTTTTAAAGGATGGGTATGAAAATCCTTTTAATGGAGTGATGATGTTGGTAGACATTTACCACTGGAGGATTGTAATAATCAATCACCAGAACCTGTTTTATATAAAGTTATAAAGCTTCCTTTTATAAGTTTTATGTGGGCATTAAAAATAAAAAAAACTCCTGTACGAAGCCATATGGGGAATGGTTGACAAACAGCATTTGTAGTGGGACACCTGATTCAAGCGATTGCTGTCCTGCCTCTAATGTTAATATTGCCCCCAAGCCTAGTTAGGACTTTGTAAATATTCAAGTATCTGCTGCATTAAGCAATATCATTCTTAGATGTCAGCTCTGATTAAAAAAACATTTAAAGTTTAAATAAAATGTTCACATGGATCTGATTGCATATGTCGTGGAGACTCTGTGACGAGATACCCCCACTAGAATTCCTAGCTCTAGCCATAATTTGCTATAATTTTCTGTAATGTGCTATAAAAAAGTGACATGTTCTTGTGATGCCCTCAGTGAGCAGGCAAAGTTGTCCTCAGCATTGTCTCCTGAGAAATTCAGGAACCCTAAAGGTGCCCATACACTGCACGATTCTCATACGAGAATCGTGGGAAATCCCACGATCGTACGATAATCGTGCAGTGTGAATGAAGACGTGCGACCGTTTCTACTGTATGTTCCACGTCTTTTGTCGATGATCGATGATCGCAAGTATTATCTGCCTGTCCAAGATGGGCAGATCGTACGTTTTTTTAAAAATTCCTTTACAACCATCGCAAGACTAAGGTCTTGCGATGGTTGTAAAGTGTATGGCCACCTTTTAGAGTGACCAAAAATCTGTGATCGTTTTTAAGTGGTTCGTCTCTTTTATTCATAGTATGAATAGTTTCAAAATTCTGAAACTGATAGAAATTTCAAAGCAAGCGAAATCGTGGTTGAAGAGAAGTGTTTAATTGAGCTCAAAGCCTTGTTGTTGGAGCATTTTAACTAATATGAGCCTAAGTTCCATGTGCCTGATTTTGAACATCCAGAAATCCAGGAGTATATTTTCCCCTGCACATGTTCCATCTCTTGACAGCCTCAGCTGACTGTCTGCTGTCTTTCCCCACAAATATAAGATGGCCAAGAAAGCCCAAGCTTTTTTCCAACTTGGCATACTTCTAAACTGAAGCTGGTGGAGCTCTACCTAGAACAGCACTAAGACTTGCCATGGTTATGTCTGAAAGGTCATTTTAGTCCGCTGTGAACTCCCCTGAGATTAGATCTTGCTACAGTATGTTCTGCACTGCTTTCCAGTTTAGAGGTTTGATAGTGTTTATTGTTTTTTTTCCCCTGCAGGACAAGCCACCTCCTCGACGTTCATCGGATGCCCCCCTTCCATCTACACTTAAGCTTGTTCGTGATTTCGTACGCCCTTATCCAGCACATTTATTGTTGTACTCGCTTCTTATTACCATAATTGTTATCAATTCCTTGCAAGCTTTATTTGGGGGAGGAAGCAAAGCAGGAGCCTCCAAGCAGAAGAGCCACTCAAAGCCACAAAGCGAGAAGAAGAAGCAAAAGGGCAGCAGTGGACATGATTCTAGTGCTTCAGGCTCTGTGGGAGATGCTGGCCACAATATCAAGAGGCGTGAAAAGAGCTAAAGAATAGGCAAGAACCTCAGACTCTCACCTATCATTTAGCACTACCGTCCCTAATACTAGGATGTGGGTCTGTACGGTTATACACTGGTGGGCTTTAATTATGTTTAGCATGCTCTGCTGCATTCACTTGCAGGTATTTGTCTATTCTTTTTAGGCCAGCACCAAAGGATGGGTGCATAACCACTGATCATTGAATTTCATATGCGTTTCTTGCCCATGGTTTCACTTTTTTGTTTTTATATTTTTGCTTTTACAAACATAGAAGATGATCTGAACACCAAGCCACATATGTTACGGCCAGTACCATCTTTTGTCTTTAAAAATGTTGGTTATAAAATAATTTTATGGGTGCTGCTATGCTGTATATATTGAAGACTGGCTGTAGCATCCTAATTTATTATCAATAGTGTAAAAAGAAAAAAAGTGACAATTGAGGGTTGCTTGGTGTATGCTTTTTTTTTTTTCCTTTTTCTGTCCAGTATAAACATCAAGTTGCATGCTTTAGTCACACTTACAATATACATCCATTATGCCATGAGTGTCATTCTTTACAACCATCCTGTAAAATATGACATGGCAAAACCACCAAAATGCAACTGTGCTGAAGTGCCTTTTTTAGATGTGTAAATCTCGTATCTGAAGCCATATGTGCCTTATTGCTTTTGTATATATGATCATGGTAGAGGGAGGTTGTTTCAGTTGTTATTGTGAATTACTTTATAGTTGAATTGGCTCAGGCCAATTTAAAAACTAAAAAACATAATTTTAGTTTCTTCAGGATGTGGATTAGAAAGTGTGTCCCTGAATCCATTTGTAATGAAATATATATTTTTCTTATGTGGCTGTATGATGCAGAATTGTAAAACGAGCTAAAATATAACTCCATTTTCATTTTAAATTGGTAGGTGTGCCTGCGGCCTCTAAAGACATGCTGATATGTTGCGTTACCTTTATGGAAGATTAGAATCCAGCAACACGGCCTGTAGTCTCATGACTTTGTGACTGCTTCCTGCTTTGTTCTGATTGAGCTGCTTCCAGGAGGCTGCTTTTTCAGAACTCTCCCTTCTCCAAGCAGTGCTTCTAGTGGTGGCCAGGAGAAGCATGTCCAGTGCAAAGTAAGACATTACCACCGACCAGACCATGATGCTAGAAAAGGACTTTTATTTAGCAAAGATACCCCAATTATAGTAGCATTTGTTTCAACAACCACAAGGACAAGTACAAAGATATAAACCATAGTGAAAGTGCAGTCATTTTTTTTAATTTAAGGGCGGTTCATTCAAAGAGCTCAATTTTACTGTTATGTGAATGACCAAAAGCTCACTGTTCACAGCTCAGCTGAGATCAGATATGTGGAAATGTATTCCATGTTCTTCCCTACTTTTTATAGTTGGGGAAAACGAGTTTAAAACTTACCAATCATTGTATGGTAGGGGCAAAGTTAGAAAGGCCTCCTGGCCTAAAAGGGCAAGGACAGTCTTCACTGGTCTCTATATTAAACTGGTATAAATATTTTCACTTTAGCCTGCAGTTTGAACACTAACGTTTCCACTAAGGGTGACACATCTTGCCATTTGCAATCTACTCTTAAGTAAGGTATACAGTTTTAGGGTGTTTTTTTGTTTAACCTACGGGTTGAAAAAAAAATAGAACAGATTCCTCCAACACTTACGAGTGTTGATGAACGAATCCCCTTCTGTTTGCATTGTATTATGACAGCAGCTGGCGGCTAAAATAAACCCATACAATTACAATGTGTAAAATTATACATCATGCAAGAGCAAGCACCACAAGACACCATGCTAATACGTCTAATAGCCAGAAACGTATCTTCCTTGCCCCTCACTTTGTCACTAGAGTCTGACTTTCTCTGAATTCATGACAAAGTCCCGATGACTGCCATTCCATTTACCAGTGAGTGCTTTAATGACCAACAAGGATATTATTATTGGGCAGTGGAATGGCAAGTGATGGAACTTAGTCAAGAAATCTGGAAAGTAAGGTTCAAGTTACAAATTAAAATGAAATGGAAGAGGCTTTTTTGTCTAATATGATAATAGCCTGTATCTGCTGGTGTCTCCCTTAGCTGGTCTCCCATATTACAGCATGATTTTAAAGTATCTGTGTACAGCTTGATTTGAACTCGGTGCTATTTCACCTTATTTACTGAGACCTAATGATCATGGTGCATAGGTGTTACTCTCTTTCTTCAGGAAGACGTTTTTGTCTTATTGGATTTTATGCACAATGTGATTTTGTATTTTGTAATAAAGCTTTATTTGCATATCTATGTCATTGATTGTAAACCCATAACACAGACACCAGACACTGTACATGAAAACTGATGTGGGATGTTTAAAGTGATTCAGCATGAGAAATTGCTGCAGTGTTCAAAGGGTCATATACTTGGTTTTAAATCTTCTTTGCCTAATTCAGAGCAAAGCAATAGGTTTGTCTTTGTCACCCTCCCCCTCTCCCTTTCCCTCTGCACTCTGTCCCTCCCATTCCTTCTCAGCATTTTTTTTTTTTTTTTTTTGTTTACCTTAAGCTAGCCATACACCTATAGATTTTCTATGGTCAGATAGAAAAAGTGCTACACATTCAGAATCAATTTCCCACTGGGCCAGGCTTTAGTATCTTGCTGCTCAGCCCCACTGAATGTCGAAATACCGGAACAATCTGATTGATGCAGGCATTGTTCAGGTATTTTGACCGTTAGCGGGGCCGACTAGCAAGATGCTGAATCTTGGCCCAGTGGGAGATTCCTCCAGCCACACAGTTTAGCGTAGATCTATAGGTGTATGGTCAGCTTTACCTACCCTGCCGTGAGTTCAGTGCTTGCACATAAAGCAATTACCCAGTACTTCCAGATATGGAGGAGCATGGGACTCACTTGTGTGACTGTGCTGGGCCAATTAGCACTATGAGTTTTTATAGCCCTGTGTAAGCTAAATTTAAAGTGGACTCATTGCTTTTCACTGGTTTGCAAACACATTTGGTTTAACTTACAAATATTAGATGCATCATCCTGGATACAACCTAACCCTAAAGTATTATATGTTGTTCAACAAGATTCAAAGCACGACTCAAAGTTTTACGCTAGATGCGACTGTTAAATTTGGCATTTATTAGGGAAAAAAAAGGAAAGAATGACAGTAGAGTTGTTGCCCAATATGACCAATCGGATTCCTTGTTTTTATTTGTATTTTATTTTTTTTCTCCCAATAAATAAAAGCTGAAATTAAGACTGGTCACGGTGGGCTAAAATATTCTTTTCTTAGATGTTGTATATTTAGAGGTAAGTAAAAAAAAAAAAAAAAAAAAGAGAAAAAAAAAAAAAAAAAAAAAGCAGGTATGGCTTGTTCTTGCCTGCATAATAAACGGGTGTCCACATCATGCACCCTGGACAGCCATTATGCGCTATAGCTAGGCTGGTGCATGAGCAACAGGTCAGAGAGTTGATGGATGCTGCACGATGTAAACGCTAGGCAGCAAAAGTCTGCTTCTCAGGTGTGTGGAATCTTTTTACATAGTAAAAGAGGTTGTCTTTTAATAGTACAATTCCACTTTAAAGCAGTCATAGGCCATCTGGGTACTCTAGCTGTGGTAAAACTTTGGGAGTCATGCCTGTGGCTGTCAGTCTTGCAATACCTCACAGAACTGGTAGTTCAACAGCTGCTGTGCCAAGGTTGCCTATCCTTGCCTTAAGGCTCAATTCACACCTGCGCGTTTGGAATTCAGCATGTTTTTTTAAGCGCAAAAAAAAATGTCGTACATATGCACAAAAAAAGGTGCAATTTGTAATAGCCATGCATTTTTCAGTGCGTTTGCAGGTATAACCATAGCCTTTTGGGGGACAGAACACGTTGAAATCGGCTAAAACAAATTGCGCATGTACTTTTTTCAGTGTTACACGTTTTTGTGCGTGCATAAGAACATGCAGGCGTGAACAAGCCCCATAACAATTTGTGTTTTGTGTGTTAATGTGTATATGTAGCCTAAGGGTCAGCCTGATCTGTGCCTGTTGTAGGCAAAGTTTACTGTTAAGTCGCACCCGGGCCTCATATCTCTTGGCAACTAAAGCTGTGAGGCCTATCTGGCATCCTTTCTGGCTGTTACCTCTTCCTTTGCTGTTTTTGGAGGTCCTCACTTCGGCTGCTGCATTCTCCATCATATAAAGTAAATGAGTAATGTAACCAGGAGAAAGGTAACCTTTTAAATTGTTTTAAAGGCGAACTATGGGGTTAGGACTTTTCCCCATAGTTCTTCTAAGGTTAACGGGAGGACACAAACTAGCACCCTCCCGTCACCCTAAACTCAGTATACCGCGAGCTACAGCTATCTAGAGGCAGAGCCAGCTGTACCCTCCCCCGTCCGTTCCGCCAGTCAGCGCTGTAGGCTCGGGGAGGGGGGAATCCAGTCCCTCCCCTGTCACGGCTCTCTGCAGTGACAGGATCGAGAAGTGAGTGAGCACCGGTATGTTTTCGCTCACTTCCCGATCTACTGAGCCGACCTGTGACAGTTTCATTGTCACAGGTCGGCTCAGATTATGAGGCTGGGTGAAAAGCACTCACCTCATAGTTCTCAAGTGTTCAGACCTTGTAACTGAAGCACAGAGTTCTTCCCATAGACATCCCTGACCGATGGGAAACTTTTAGGTGATTTAACTCTCCAGAAGCTGAAATTATTTTTTCCTTCTAGTTTTTGACTGGGAAGAGTAAGAACCTCCATCAGCGTTAAATTGCCATTTGTGTCCAGATTGGGGAAATTCCCTCCTACTTACTGTTAAATTTTTTTTTATGGCAGCAGAGCAAGTGTTGAAGAGAAATCTCCAAAAGGGCACACCTATGGGAGCACAGACAACCATAAAACCATAACAGGTTCTAAGCTTTGCCTACTTTATTTAAATCTATTGAGGATCCATGGGCAATGCTCCAAATGGGTTTATTTATTTAGGATATTACATTTCTTACAGCCGCCTGATAGTCTTTGTTGATGAAGTACGTGGAAAGCGTGTAAAAAGAAATCTGTGTAGCAAGTGGAAATATAAACACCACTGTAATGTTAGACACACAGCTGATTATTTTAAACATGACGTTGGTCGTGAGTGTAAACTGGCTGAATGCAAACAAACGTGAATGTTTTCTATTCTCATTTACATTTTGTGAAATCCCATGTAACATGCATTAGAAGTGCATTTTAATATTAAAACTTAGATTGAAGGAAAATATCTGACCTATCCTCAAAACTAGAACAGCTAGAAACAGCCTTGAAGTCGCATCCCTCTAAAACACTGCGCCAACAGGTAGCAACGACTAGAGTGGAATTAAACCTCCTTCTAAATGATAGAGCGAAAAGCAACTGCGTTGGAGTAAACGCAACTTCTATGCTAGGGCTAATAAACCGGGCTCAATGTTAGCAAAACTATTGAACTCCAGGCCCAAGGGTAATCATTCTATACGCCTCCGGCTTCCTAACGGGGTCACCTCCGCAAACCCAACTACCATTATTGACCGCTTCTCCAAAATACTGACTAAACTGTATGATAAACCACCTACATTCCAACCGGGTAGGGCGGACAAACTGCTGGAGGGCGTCAACATTCCGACGCTTACAGACCCCTTGGCGGAACTGGTGGGGTCGGATATTATGGTTCAGGAAGTTCTCACGCCCATCAAATCCTTACATACTAATAAAACCCCGGGCCCAGACGGCTATTCTGCTTTATATTACAGAAAATTTGCGGACCTCCTTGCCCCACACCTAACCTAATTTTTTAACTCCCTTAAATCCAATCCTAGTCTCTCCACCTCCTCTCTCTTGGCACAGATCGTGATGCTGCCCAAACCTGGCAAAGACGCCCTAGACCCACATAACTATAGGCCCATTTCGCTACTTAATGTAGATATCAAGCTCCTCTCTAAAAT